GGTTATTAAACTTTGCTGAACTATAACAAAGTTTAAATTTGAAATTTTTCCAATTTTGCGGTTTCCATGCTGCTCTTAGCATTCTCAAGTCTTGTCTGTCTGTTCTTGGAAAACCAAGGAGCTTTCAATCCCTGTATAGCGGTAATATATGTAAACATTGGATGATATTACTAGATGTTGTCGGAGGATTAATTTTTGTTTTCATGTGTTTTTGCTCAACCGCAACAAGCTAGCAGCTTTGAAGGAGCACTCCTGATAAAAGAACACACAATTCAATAACGCAGCTCTGATGCCATTTCTGAACTTCTCAAAGTCTGTGGCTCAGTACTTTCTGGGCCACTGACCTGGAGCAGGAATATTGCATGGGAAGTCACCTATGTCCAAGCAGGACTTGTCATCAGGATTGCTTGTAGGCTTCCTGCAGTTCTTTTTTTTTTCTGGGGAGGTGGATTTATCATGCTTTGTTCCCTATTGTGTCTTCTCATTCAACATCCCCCACCTCCACACCCAATGACTGATGAACTGATGAGGTTATTGTCAAGGAAATAGGGATAAAGCAGAGATTAAAAGAATTAATAGAGTAGGAGATGGAGGATCCTTGCAATGCAGGTCTTAGAGTACAGCTTCCTCCAGCAGGTCCACAGAGTACCAGAGGCATCCCTACAATGCTCGCCGCCTGGGGTGTGTGCTGGTGGTGCAGGTCTGGGAGGGGAGTTGGGGGCGTTGCTGGCAGTTGGGGTTAGGGGGTGCAGGTCCGTGGGGGTTGCACCATATCTCTATACGGTATCCCACTCAGCTCATTGATGTCACTGGTTGCCAGGAGCAGGGCGGGACACTGACCAGAGCATCCCGCTCTGCTCCTAGCAACCATTGAGTGACATCTCCAAATCTCGTGACAATATTGGTCCTCTCACACTGCAGATATGCAGCTGTAGGAACAGTCTCATTTTAGGAAGAGTTTTTTAAAACTGAGGAATTCCATGCAGTAGGCAGATGTTTTCAAGTACTAGTTAGCCACGATTAACTTCCTAGATATTCCATATAAGATAGTAAATCTTTTGAAGTGCATATGTACAGTGCAGGACAGTGGTAGCCACTGGACCTTAAGAACTCCCTTTTTAAAATAATAAAGCGTTAAGTGAATAAAACTTGATGTGATGCTCCCAAAGAGGCCAACCAATTCAGCAAAGGGATATTGATGAGTTAAGAAGGGGCCAATTAAAACATTTTGCCAATCGCAGATCAGTCTTAAGAAGATTTATGTAGTTAAATGTAATTGAGGGTTACTAAACTGGATTGCTCTTAGTGCATATGATCAAATTACACTATACTGTACTTTACATAGTGATGACTTTGGAACTTTTTTGAAAGTCATATTTTACAGCACAATGGTACAAGTGTATTTAAAGCCAAAGTTTTGTTTTAGATGGCATAAGTAAGGGTAAAAACTCCTGTAAGGTTTTTATTGCTGTGTGTGTCTCCTTTGGGGAGACGCTTTCTCTCTATTTGCTCTGGTGACAACTGTGCGGCTTAGTGTGATCCAGTGCTTCCATTCTGAATGGCATTGCAACACACCTTGCTGATGGATGTGCATTGCGCTGCACTGCCAGAAATGGTGCCGGTCCAGTTTCTGGGACGTTGAGTTGCTTTGCCAGCCCATTCATCCAAACAGGCCACCTAATGCAAAGCAAATTACCCAACAACCCCAGTGGCCTAAGATGTGCATTGGGATGTGCTGCTAGAAATGATGGACTTCCAGTTTCTGGTATGTTGAAGTTGCATTGCCAGCCCATTCATTTGAATGGGCTTCCTATTGCAACACACATTAATGCAATGGCCCCAGATGTGTGTTGGGGTGCGCTGCAAGAAATGGTGCAAGTCCGGTTTCTAGGATGTTGAATTGCGTTCTCAGCCAATGGGCTGCCTAATGCAATGAATGGTAATGAAAAGACCCCAGCAGGAAAGCATGAACTTGGCGTAAATCTACACTCTGTGCTTAATGTTTGATTAGGACGTTGCTGTTGTTCCTGGCTTATAGTGTTAGTCGGTCAGTTTACTGACTGACTAACAAAATAAGGGGCTTAACCTCTGGTCCATTTTAATTGGGGTTCCAACTGAACTTGTCTAAGGTGCTAAACACTGTAGGGGAGACTCAGAAATCTGGATGTGTACATCTAGAACAAAGAAGTAAAAAGTTGCGTCGAATGAGTTAACATTGTTATTAATAACTCGGTATGTGTATTTGCTACAAATGCACTATATTTTTCTTTTGGCTAAAATAAATAGTGTCCAATGTCATGGACTTCCCAGAGGCTTTGTGAAATGCATTTGCTTTTACTGTACAACCTGGGCTGAATTTAAAAAAAAGTGTAGAAATCCAACTGAATATAAAAGTAATACAACATATAAAAATAACTGAAATTAATCATACAGCTTGCATTTACATTTTTCATGGACACATCTATACACCGAAATGTGCTTCTCATAATGATGTATGTTTTACCGTTGCTATGGAAACCTGTACAGTTTTTCAGAATAATACTACTTCTACAATAGCTGTGCAATGCTGAATTCCATAGAGCGTCTCAAATCTTGGCATCTCTTCTGTTTCCTATCACTTGTCTATTACATTTACATTGCTTTGTGAAAGTATTCACCCTCCCCCCTGTGACTTTTCAAAATTGGGCTGTGTTAAAGCTTGAAATTGAAGCCCAATTACAGTTTTAATAAATTCCACTGGTCTACACAAATTAAAATGTAAAAAAAAGCTCACACTGCAATACTCACCTAACTAGGGATGCACTGCAATTACGGCTGCATCCCTAGCTACTCTCCTTCCCACCTGGGTGCTGGTCTGTGTCCCCTCCGATCCCTGCTGCTCTCCCCCGCCTGTGTCGGCAGAGGCAGGAGGGATCGGAGGGGACACTGAGCCGATCCAACAACTGGTACCCAACATGGAGGAGAAAAGCTGTCAGTAGGCCAGGCAGTGCGAGGAGGAGACTGCTGTCAGGAGGCCGAGCGGTGCCGTGTGGGGAAGACCGCTTGGCCTCCTGTGACAGGCGGAGCAGTCGGGGTGGAGAGCAGAGCACACATTAGTCGAATCGACGGATGTCTGTATCTGTACCGTGTCCTAAATAAAGATAATAAAAAAAACAATTACCACTTAAACCTTTATTGTTATCGGCTATATTCAAAATTGTTGGAACTTCTTCTTCTTGCACAGCCTCACAGAAACAAACACAGTCAGATATGCATGTTGCACATGGCTTGGAAAAACAGGAAGGAAGCCACAGCTTTATTCTCTACCTTTTTCAATACAACAGAGAATATACCATATATATAACAGAACTTATAAACACTGCCATCTACTAATCGAAAATGTATACTGCAGAAGTTATTGCAATAGATACAATAATGTGTATTCTAACAAAAATAATCCATTACTTATGTGAAAATGAATACATTATTCAAAATATACATACAGTGTGATACAAGCTACTTTTGCTACTCTATATAGAATGTGTTCCTTTCCCATCACTTCATTTTTTCTTTTGTTTTTCTTTGTTTTCTTTGCCCCTGCTTTCATTTCCTTTTTTCATTTCTCCTGCTTTTTTTCTTTTGCTTTTTTTTTTTTTTCATTTCCTTTGCTTTTGCTTTCTGTTCTTCGTTTCCGTTCCTTGTCCCTTTTTACATTTCCGACCTTTTCCTTCTATGTAGCTAATATGTTGCGCTTGGTGTTTATTAGTCTACTAAGTTTTATAAACCACCTTGTGTATGTGATTTAAATTGGGTACTGATTAGTTTCCATGTGTGGTAAAACAATACTGTTGCTTCTGCTTTTCCTTGTCCTTGTCCCTCAGCTTTTTCTTTTTGTGTTTTTCTTTTCCTTTTTCCTTTCCTGAAAAACAAAATTGTGGCTGCTGAGAGTCTAATTCGAACTTTATTTAAAGTTTATGTAAAGAAACTATGAAGACTTCTTTTTTTTTTTTTTTTTTTTTTTTTTTTT